ATAATAAATTTTGAAAAATTCCTGCTAATTTTTTTTTTTTTTAAACCAATATCTATAATTTTTTACTTTTGAGAAATTATTTTTATCAAGGACTGATTAAATTGATTTCAACAAAATATTAAGCAGCAGTTGTTTTCAACATTTGATCAAATGTATACATATATATTTGTTGCATATTTGTACTCTGAATATCATTTGATCTTCTGCCAAAACTTATGACTGTATGATCCTTCGTGGAAAAAAGACCATAAAATTGTATATGTTTGCTTAGAACGAGCTGTTTTAGGTAGGTGTGGCTGACTCTTAACTTTTATAAAGAATACCTCTTTGGATTTGAGACTTTAGTCTTTGCAACTTTATAAATCTTCTTTATGCACCAAGAGCTTGTAACACTCAAAAAATTGAAATTGCATCATATGACCCCTTTAAGAAAATGTTTCCACTTATACATTTTAAACTTTTTATTTAGTAAGGACATTTTTTTATGAACCACCGATTACAATGAACTAGCTTAATCCACTAGATGGGGAAGTTCAGAGGCTTTTCCACAGCACTTTTATGAGTGTCAATGACTGTTTGGATCAATCATCAGTGCTCTTGTATGTTTTAAATGCAGGTGCGAGGGCTGCGGTGCCGTCTTTCATGCCGAGTGCCGGATGCGAGCCCAGCCGTGCCCGCGATGCGTGCGCAGAGAACTGCACAAGAAGCCGGCGTCATTCTGGAAGAGACACGGCCCTCACCACAGCCCTGATGACGAGGTGCTGAACTGCTTTGAGCTGGACCCCTGAGATGCTTTACGGAGAGCGGTGCCCGAGCACACTGCACTGATGAAGTCCAAGTGCTGCTGTATGCACTAAGGACAAGATTCCGTGCGCCCTCGGTACAAGTGCTCCGTGAAAACCGAGGAACAGAGGCGTTTTTTTTTTTTTTTTTACGTTCTCCCTCACCTGAGAGAGATGGGCACAGAGACAATAATTCAGCTCCCGAAGAGCAGAGGCTTCATAATGATACCAATTTACCCTTCCCTTTCATCTACCAAATGACAGCCAGGGCCAACCAACAAATACAGGCAAGGTACGCTCACACACTTGCACATAAACACACTCCCACTGACAGATGTAAAATAATGCCCTTTCTGGCAGATTCACAATCCAAGAGCGATGATTCAAACCAATTTCTGGACACAAATAGAGCTTCTAATCCATTAATGGTTTAGTGAAAATGAGCGCTGCAAGATGGGAGTATCTGGCCCCTCTGTTAGGTTTCCCTCCACGCTGTAGTTAACCTACTATGCCGAAGACCCTTGATCTGGATCGCATGAAGGCTGAAGATGAAGATAAACATCCTTAGAACAAAAATTATTATTTTTTTTCTTTCAGATGTTTGCATTTTTGCACTTTACATTTATGATTTGTCCCTAAGTTTCAGTTTTTTTTATTGTTATTACAAGATCATTGCACTTTCAGTCAGAGCATGTTGCCACATCCGTTTTTATCTCAACGCATTCAGCTTTGGTTTGCGTTGTACTGTGAAGAAGGACTGGTGCCTCGTCCCGTCCAGCTGGAGTTTAAAAAGTTTGACTGTTTATCAACACTCAATGGTACTGCCTATAAGCAGCTGAACCACGTTGTTCTTGCTAACCGCCTGGTCTGTGATTACAAACTACCCTGGGCCACCAAACCCCGAAATTACAGTCTAGAGTTCCAGGGCTTTGTTTAGCATTCATTCGTCTTTGTAACAAGAAATGTGGACAAGCTCATAATTCATGTCCATCTAACCTCTGCTTTGGATCCTCGATGCCTCTCTGCGTTCATGCGAAGTTTTCTTGCTACTTGAAATCAGTATTGGCAATAAAGTCACTTCTTTTGCTGCCTTGTTTGACTTCCCATTCTTTGGCCAGACCTGTCTTTCTCCAGTTGGACAATATGTGCAAAGTGCACAATAAGAAATACAAAAAAAAAACTACCAACAAATACAGGCAAGGTACGCTCACACACTTGCACATAAACACACTCCCACTGACAGATGTAAAATAATGCCCTTTCTGGCAGATTCACAATCTAAGAGCGATGATTCAAACCAATTTCTGGACACAAATAGAGCTTCTAATCCATTAATGGTTTAGTGAAAATGAGCGCTGCAAGATGGGAGTATCTGGCCCCTCTGTTAGGTTTCCCTCCACGCTGTAGTTAACCTACTATGCCGAAGACCCTTGATCTGGATCGCATGAAGGCTGAAGATGAAGATAAACATCCTTAGAACAAAAATTATTATTTTTTTCCTTTCACATGTTTGCATTTTTGCACTTTACATTTATGATTTGTCCCTAAGTTTCAGTTTTTTTTATTGTTATTACAAGATCATTGCACTTTCAGTCAGAGCATGTTGCCACATCCGTTTTTATCTCAACGCATTCAGCTTTGGTTTGCGTTGTACTGTGAAGAAGGACTGGTGCCTCGTCCCGTCCAGCTGGAGTTTAAAAAGTTTGACTGTTTATCAACACTCAATGGTACTGCCTATAAGCAGCTGAACCACGTTGTTCTTGCTAACCGCCTGGTCTGTGATATTTATTGTATTTATATTCTTCACTGTAATTTCTGTATCAGTTTCTGGATTTTCCCTGTGCTTTCTTGTATTCTGCAAACTCTTCATTACAGACAACCTCTTATGCAACTACAAATATTTGTGTTTCAGTACTGGTGCGGGTTCCTTCCAGTTCTTCTTTTCTTTTCTTTTTTTTTTACCACTGTTGCCAATAAAGTAAATTGCTTAACACAGTCGGCTCTTTTTATGCTTCAACGTTAATGTCGTCATCTGAATTGATTTTAGGATTTTAAGTAATTCCAATTCTTCACAGATTATTTTCTTGGTCAGAATCCAAGGTGGCAGCAGTGGAACAAATGCATCATGGCCGTGGCTGTGGTTGTGGTGTGCTCTTTTAGGCCCTGGACTCATGAGCTAATCCCAAATTAAAAGCCACATGCTTGTATCTGGTTCTGTCTGGAGTTTTACCAATAACCACTGGACCTGTTAGAGACCACAGCATGAGGCTTCTAATTTTTTTGCACAGTGGTACGGCGTATAAACGTTTGAAATTCAGTCTAGTGATATCATGATTCTATTGAGAACGGTTACCATGGAGGTATTTTCTTCATCTTCAAGGCATTTTAAATATTTGTCCAAGCTATCCAGGGCTCAACAGTAAGGATGGTCCGCTGGCCCAGGGCCAGTGTGAGTGAGTTTCGGGCCAGTTGACTGAAAAACACTGAACATGTCACATTCATTGAACTTCAACTTAGATTTTTTTAGGCCTTGAAAACATCTTTGTCTTTCTTTTTTGTGTGTGTGAAATTTTTCTACGTTTTGCAATGTTATATAGTTGGATAACATAAATGGGATTTGTTCAAATTGCAAAAATGACTTGTGATAGTCTTAAAGCATCAGTAAGAATGTGTCGTAAACTAAACATTTTTTGTGTGTTGATTTTCTTTGAAGAAAAGAAAACATTAAACATTTAATGACAAATATAACTAGCAAAAATTGGTTTTCAAGCCCGGGCTTAAAATCGAGGCGTCCTGCTGATCCCAGACTCCATTACGGTCTTAATGTGTGACAGCTCAATGCTGAAGATGTCTTTAAGATGGGTGTTTTCACACATATCTGGACTTGTCGCGTCCTTTTTTGGAACGGTGGAGATTTTTTTTTGTGTGTGTCAAGAGGATGTTTTTAGGGATTTTTGCTGTGATTTTTTTTTTCACACACAATGAACAATAGGTGAATTATGGGGAAGTTGTAACTCAAAGAAAGAGAAACAACACTTTAGATACCTTGTTTATTGACTATCAAAGCAGGATTTTGATCAAATCTTTTTTCGGAAAAATAAAAATAGTAATCGTCCCAAGCAAACTATCTTTTGTAAAAATTTCCAGACAAGCTGAACGGTCCATTCTTTTGTCCATCCATCATTCTCACAGTACGAGTCTCCCTTCACACCTGAAGGGGTGGGAGTGTATATTTGGTAGTTGCGCTCTGCTTATGAGGATAGCTGTTGTTTTAGCAGAACTGTGTGAATGTGTGTGTGTGAGCTGCATGTGCATGGTCTGACTCATTTGCCTGTGATTTGTATTGAGGAGTGGGCAAATTGAACCTGAGTGTTGGTCGTGCTTAATTGTCGTCGCCAATTAGTGCATTGTTGAAAGCCACAATGGCTCCACTGTAGCGAGGGGAATGTTCTCCTTTGTGCTTCTCCAGTGGCCCACAGGCCAGTCAAGACTCATTTAGGACTCTGACAACAAGGGGCCAGAAATGCCATCAGAAAAAGACAACAAAAGGGCGGTTTAAGGAGAAAAAGACGACGGCAGAATGGAGGCGGGAGGGGTGGAGACAATAGTGACATGGGATGGAGCACCAGGGTCCAGTTTTCGTGAAAAAGGGGTTAGAATGTCTTACTCAACCCCCTGGTTCCCTAACGTCCACCTGCCGCATAAAGACACACACTCGCGATCAGCACCGAGCAATAACAAATCTCGACATCAGCTGTGTTTCTGCTTTTACTATGCTTGTTTGTTTGGGATCTTCTCATTATGTTACACACACATTTTGTCCTTAAATGTCGATGTTTAACAATCAAGCTATAGTTTATACTTAATATGGTTTCTTTTTATGACATATAAATGTACTAAACAGTACATTGTGAGTGCATACATATTATATGGACACTTAAGCCACAAATGAAAATGTATCTTTGCATTAAATCAAATATCAAACACAGTACATTTGTTTAAAAATTATTTGTAAAAATGCATTTTTAGTAGTGCTGTCAAGCGATTAATCGCGATTATACACAGAATATATGTGTGTGTACATATATGTATTATGTATATATAAAGACACACACATCCAGTATATATTTTGAAAATATTTACATGCATTTAGATGTATATATTTATATTCATATAATTTATATTATATATAAATATATTTAATATATAAACATAACATATTTTTCATATATATATATATATATATGCTTGTGTGTGTCTTTATATATACATAATAAATATACACAGTACACACACATATATTCTGTAAACAAAAACTTTTATTTTGGATGCAATTAATCGCGATTAATCGTTTGACAGCACTAATTTTTAGGGTTTATCTATATAAAAATACTCTAATTCAAATATTTGTGGACGTAAGTTTTTGAAAAAGTCTTATGTTCACCAAGGCTACATTTATTTGATGAAAAATACAAAAACACACTAAAAAATAAAGGTGCATAAAAGGGTCTTCACAGCGATGCCATACAAAAACCATTTTTGGTTCCACAAAAAAACATTCCGTCAAAGGTTCTTTAAAGAACCATCTCTTTCTTATCTTTTTATAATCTGAAGAACCTTCATTCGCCACAAAGAAGCTTTTGTCAAACAGAAAGGTTCTTCAGATGTTAAAGGTTCTTTATGGAACCATTTAGACAAAAAAGGTTTTTCTATGGCATCGTGAAGCACCTTTATTTTTAAGTGTATAATGAAATAATATTGCACTTCAAAATAACTGTTTCCTATTGTAATTTTAAACTTTAAATGTAATGTATTGCTGTGATGGAAAAGCTGAATTTTCAACAGCCATTACTCCAGTCTTCTGTTTTACATGATCCTTCAGAAATCATTCTAATTTGTTCATTTGGTGCTCAAGAAATATTTTTCATTATTATCAATGCTGAAAACAATTAATACTTAATATTTTTGTGGAAACAATGATAATTTTTTCAGGATTGGTTATTCTATGGCATCGTGAAGCACCTTTATTTTTAAGTGTATAATGAAATAATATTGCACTTCAAAATAACTGTTTCCTATTGTAATTTTAAATTTTAAATGTAATGTATTGCTGTGATGGAAAAGCTGAATTTTCAACAGCCATTACTCCAGTCTTCTGTTTTACATGATCCTTCAGAAATCATTCTAATTTGTTCATTTGGTGCTCAAGAAATATTTTTCATTATTATCAATGCTGAAAACAATTAATACTTAATATTTTTGTGGAAACAATGATAATTTTTTCAGGATTCTTTGGTGAATAGAATGTTCAACAGAATTTATGTAAGTATTTATTTATTTATTTGTTCGTTTATTTATATGTTTGTTCATTTATTTATGTATTTATTTATTTATCTATCATAACAGTATAAAAGTCTTTACCACCATTTTTTATCAATCTGATCAATAAAAGTATTTATAATAAATGTCATGTTTTCTAAAATCTAAAATAATTATATAATAGTTATAAATATTGTTTGTAAGTATCTTTTTTATTTTATTTTAACTGCTGGTTTTACAATGGCACAGCGGTGCATAATCATGTTAAAAGAGCTTTTCCAATTCTATATCCTATCACTGTACTTCACCAAAATACAACAAAAGCATCCCATATCATCTCATCTTCTTGTGACAGAGACAGGAAAGCCGATGCAGATGAGAAAAGGTCAGTTTAGTGAGATTGCATCACATTGGCATTGTGTACGAATTGTCCGTCCGCACACAGACATAGAGAGTCGATTATCAGATAAAAGCATTTGCCCACACACAGGTTCAGGCATGTAAAGAAAGAGAGGAGGGAGTGGAAAAGTGAAAAAGAGGAAAAACCAACCACCATGGGATATTTTCATGCCCAGGAGACATCACAAAATAAAACAGACGGCTAGTGTGCACCACACCTCATCACGCTTCAACATCATTTGACACTGACAACGCTCTACAGCTCGACTAAAGTAAATCCAAGCCTGAATTATCTAGAGCATGACTGAGACTGATTTTAATCAGGTTATATTTCCTCACACAGGTTATATCACTATTTCAACAGACTAGCTAAGTACTATTGATACAAGTACGCATACTAGCAATTTCCCTATAGCAAGGCCTAACATACCATGGACACAGTATACTGAAAGGAAGTCAGTTGGC